GTCAAAATGTTTTGTTTGATATTAGAATATAGTATACTAATAATTTTAAAATATCATTAAACCGATTGAACCCAAATATTTTTAGGGTTCGGTTGGTGTTCCGGTTTTAAAAACATAGGTGTTTTCCGATGATATCTCTCTGCTCCTCTCCTCCTCCTGTGAGAGCCGATTAAAGATTGTTCGGGAGAGAGAAATCGATTCAGTAGGAGGAAGGATTTGATGAGTGAGGTACTCAACTCACTGTGATTGATGATTAATTGTGATTTCATCTGTTTGAGATTTTCGATTGAATGATTCAAAGTAAGATTGGATTAGGAGATTTTCGATTGAAAGTATTGGAATTTCCTTTTCTTTAATGCAAATTTTTCCTTTTTCCAATTCATGTAGCTTGATTCGGATGCTCAGCGACTGTATATAAAGCCTCAGATCTTATCGAGGAGATAGTGTGTACAATGTTGAAAAGAGGTGGCTCGAGTGTGGTGTTGAACAGAGATGGGTCGAATGTGGTGTTGAAAAGACATTGCTCGAGAGTGGAACTGCTTCCACACGATGTTGTAGAGCTGATACTGGAGAGAGTTCCGGTGAAATCTCTGGGGAGATTCAGGTCTGTGTCCAAGAAGTGGAGATGGACGATTGATTCCCGACGTTTCCAGGAAAGACAGTTGATCCGTCGTAGGCAATCACGAGGGCCAGATGTCCTTCACGTGGCCGTTTTGGATGCTGATGTAGAAGAAGCTCAAATTGTGCTGGGGTCTTCCATAGTCCGTAGGGTCAGGTTCCCTTTTCCCAACATCGGTGTTTGCTATGGTACTTGTGACGGTCTGGTATGCCTCTACTGTATCAGCACACCGAGTGTTGTGGTGAATCCCGCCACTCAGTGGCATCAAATTTTTCCTTTGTCCGGCGTTCAACAGCTCATCATCGACAAGTACGATAAAGGACCTTTCTCACCAACTTGTATGCCTGGATTCGGTAAAGACAAACTCAGGGGCACTTACAAGCCAGTTTGGTTATATAATTCATCCGAATTCGGCCTAGACAACGTTACCACTTGTGAAGTTTTCGATTTTAGCACCAACTCTTGGAGGTACGTTGTCCCTGCTTCTCCTCATCAGATTCTCCATTACCAGAAGCCAGTGTATTTAGATGGGTCACTTTATTGGCTCACCGACTGTGTAGAAACAAAGGTATTGTCTTTCGATCTTCACTCTGAAACTTTCCAAGTCATCTCTAAAGCTCCCTTTGCCCATGCACCTGACCCGGAAAAGGTCGTCTTGTGCATCCTTGACAACCGCTTGTGCGTTTCCGAGAAAAACTGGCCAACTCAAGTCATATGGTCCTTGGATTCTTCAGGCGTCTGGAAGAATATGTGTTCGATCGATCTCACCAAAACTTTTCCTTGGTTCCAGAGAAGCTCTCAAGTGCCCTTACCGGTAGCAATTCTGGAGAAGAATAAGTTGTTGCTTCATGGTCGTGTACCCATGGAACCACTGGTGCTACATGATCTCCATACCAAATCTTATGATTTAGTCTTCACACCTACCACCCCGGGAAGCTGTGTTTACTATTTCGAAAGTTTATTCTCTGTTTTATCTAATTAATTTTTCATCTTTTCGTTGTACCAAATAACCATTTGTAATTCTAGCATTTTCATGTGACGCTTCTTGTATTATTTTTGTTTGTTGCTGCTATATTTGCTCGACGACTAAGTTCTTGTAATGGGATAGAGTAATCAAAGCACTCAGTGGCTGTTCAATCTGGAACTCAGAAGAAAAGCGAATTGAATATTGAACAACTTGAAAAACCTTATTTGTCCATCTTCAAGAGGTAGCTCCAATCTTCTGAAGAGAGGTTTGGCCCCTCTATATCTTCTCCAAAGGCGTATGAGACCATCTTTCTCTTCTTTACCTGAAGCGCCAACATTCGATCTTCCACCGTATCTGCTACGGTGAGCCGCACCACTTTGACAGGATGTGTCTGCCCAATGCGATGTACTCTATCTACAGCTTGATCTTCTGTGGTTGGGTTCCACCATAATTCCATTAGGAGAACATTACAAGCTGCCACAAGGTTTAACCCAACACTAGCAGCTCTGAGAGACATTATCATTACAGACACCTATAAGTAACAGCCAGAAAACCAGTCAGTAGACATATCATCATGTGTAAAACAATGCCAGAAACGAAAAGATCATCTTGAGCTGCATACCTCAGGGAGAGTATTGAAATCTTGTATGGCTTTATCTCGTGCCTCTACTGACATACTTCCATCAAACCTTCTATACTGAATAGAAGAACTCTTAAGACCATCTTCCAGCAGGTCTAGCATCCTCGTCCATTGGGAAAAAACAAGGGTCTTTTCTCCAACTCCCTCAACCAACGCATCCGAGGTCTGATTCACATCATTCTTCAAAAAATCTAGAGTAGCCTTGATTTTAGATGAGCCATATGGAAGCTTCTTAGCCACTTCAACTGAGGATAATGTCATTGCAGAACTGGGTACGAGAAGAGGGTGATTACAAGCCTGACGAAGACGCGTCAGCATCAACAAAACGTCTGCATATTGTGTGGTTCCAGCGGTGAACTCCTGCATATTTATTTAAGAATCAAAATTTTCGTTATCAACAAAACAAAGAAGTATCCATAAACGTTCATACCTCATACTGCTCACGTGCGTAGCGCTCTAGTTTTGAGTAGAACTCACGTTCTTCTTTAGTGAATAACACTTTCCTCAATTCAATGGTTTTCGAAGGCAAAGAGATGATTGGTACTCCACCAATCTTGGTATCTAATAGTTTAACTCGTTAAAACCAATAGAAAACCTTAACCAAAAAAATTAGTTTCATGAAAATAGTTCGTCTAAGCAAGACTGTTTTCAAGATAGCCTGCAACTTCTTATATCCTTCCTCCGGGTTCTTACGGATGGGTATACTAATCATGTCACGAAACAATCGGAGGCTAGAATATGGTTGACACTTGATGAATCTGAAGTAGCTGTAGAGGTCATCAATTGAATTCTGGATCGGGGTGCCAGATAAACACCATCTATGCTTGGCATGAAGGCCTCAACATGCCTCTGCATATTGACTTGTGTAATTCTTAATGGTCTGTGCTTCATCCAGAACAACTCTAAACCATGCAAGTTCAGCAAGAACACCGGTCAAAAGGCCGTATGAGCTAACAACTACATTATAGTTAGCTAGCTTGCGAGGATCCTTTATGCGGTTCGAACCATGATATATCATTACGGAGAGGTTTTCTTCTGACCTAACTCTCTTCCTCAATTCATCCCCCCATTGTTTCATTAGGCTACTAGGGCAAACAATAAGAGTTCCCGCAGCTGGCATTCCTTTCTTCACATAGGAGTCATCAAGTTGATGAGTCACTATAAGGGCTATCGTTGTTATCGTCTTTCCAAGTCCCTGGTCATCTGCTAGAATCCCTCCAAAACAGGGGCAGCCGGATCTCTCCTTCTCTAACATCCATGCCAATGCAATCCGCTGTCCATGATTTCTATTAATTGTAAATAAATCAAACTAGAAACCAACCATCAAGTATGAAACCCTTATAAATTACAGACCTGATGCTTCATAAGACTGACTTCAAGAGCCCCGTCACGAGGGCTTGCTTCAGCATAAGGCTGAGCCTCCATAGCAGCTTGGAAGAACATAGTCGTCAAATCTTCACAACCTTCTTCGTAAGAAAACACCGGTCTCTGCACAGTTTTTTGCATAGATCGAGATTTCTGTGGGATGCTAACATAGGCATCAGGTAACCCTCTAAAGAACCATTTCCTTAGGACTGAAAAAACGGCAGAAAAAGTGTCGTTGAACTCCTTTTCTTCACCAGCCGAAATCTGAAGAGAATCATAAAAACTAACAATGATAAGC